ACCTCCGTTTGCGGTACCCAACACAGCAGCAGTAAGGGACTTGTCGCGCGGGAAATCCCGTAAATCTGCTGTACCCGCGTGCTTAATTCCGCGGGTTAAACCCGCAAATATACGGCATCGATCGCGAGTCCCCCTTACTGTTGCTTAGACAATAAAATCGCTCAGCTTGTCGCGCAACATCGTTAAGCCTAAAGCTTGTCTTTTTTACAAAGAGTAGAGGGGTTATCTAATTGATTTGTCAAAAAAAAAAAATTATTGTGCGCGGAGTGATAATACATTACAATGTTGTGCGATCAATTGCATTGCATTAAGAAATGTTCATTGCAGGTTTATGTAGAGATGACAGAGTCATATAAGTAAGGGTGGACGCGCGGCTTTAGCACAAATCATTCGAAACTGATGAAAACTGCATATCGTCGGTTGTTGGTGCGTGGTTAGGGATGGGCTTTGCTCTATAAAAACGGCCTCTTTACCTATAGGACACGTGACATTCCCTGGCCAATCACACATCCCTGTTTTAGCGTTAAACAGAAGACCCCCTGGACAAAGCTTGTAGTCGGCGTGATAGTTGTGACAATGGATGAAGCCTTTGCAACCATCGTACGGATCAGCATAAACACCATCATTTTTGAAGTTACAAAACGTGTCCCTGTAGTCTTTAAAAAAGGAAAGGATTTTCAATACGAATTAGAATTGTTAAAGTATGTTAATGTTTATTTGGCTCTTCCTTTGGTCGCCGCCTATGCGAGAAACAGTTTTATTATCAATAGTTAGGATCGTCATTTTTCGAACTGGCTTTCTCAAATCTCAAGTTTTTCTCGCCTGCACGGAAGCTTGACGAAGATTACCCGACTGCGTTCGGAATACGAATTGAGTTCACGAAGTCCCGAACACATCATTTGATATTTAATGATATTATGCTATCATATTATGCTATCATTTCCAGTTAATATTGAACAGAGCAATAAAACCGTACAATCCGATTTAGATCTTTCCATGTTCTGTCTTCTTATGAGCACTAGCTTAATGAAGAAAAGTTACCTACCTCCGTCGTTGGATGCTCCTGAAGGGAAAATAAAGAATCGTAAATAAAATTAGCCACTTTAGATAATGTATGAGATGCAATGGGTAGTCGAGATAATATTATCGGAGTTTTGGGGGTGTGCGCTTGATTAATGCGCTGCATTCATAACTATGGCCTTTGGTTTAGGCCCGTTATGATGTAAGATTTATTTTCTGTGCTTCGCGGGTTTTCTCTCTGCGGCCTCTGTTTCTCCCCTGTGGAAAGACCCGCAGTAGTTGGATTATATACTACACTATATTATACAACACTATGGGCTTTGTTTTGGACCCGTTATGATACGAGATTTCTTTTCTCTTGTGCTTCGTGGGGTTTTTCTGCGGTCTCTGGTTTTTCTCCTTGTGGCACTAAGACCCGCGATAGATGGCATAAACAAAACAGTTATATCTCGGTGTCCGCTCTGCAATTATGACCATATATCATGGCAGTAATAAAAATCAGAAATGAACGATCGAGCAAAGAAAAATGTGCAATGGAGGAAGAAAAATACAAAGCTGGCCAGGTATAAGCCGAGTTTAAGCGGGTATGACAAGAGAACACGTACTAATGCGTACAACTAGTCTAAAGGAAAAGGCATTACTACAGTTTCTAGTCGGCCGTACTGACTTACCAATGACACAAAACAAGAAGCAAAACCAAAGAAAGAAAGCTAGCTTCATCATGGAAGTCTCTCTGTATGGAGAAAAGGATGAACAATGGACTGAACCAGCCAGTGTTTGCGCAGTCTTTTCGAAAGACGTCAAATTTTATGACCACAATCCAGCTCTTGTCAGTATTGAGAATGCCGCGTTGTATTCCCTTGTTTGATCAGCCTCCAAGAGCATGCATCACGTGCACCCCACGTTCTTTTTACTATTCAGGATTCACACACATTGGCTCTTATATCCGCCAGTCTTAGCTCAGAAGGCTAAAAGTTTTTACGCTAATATTGGGACCTTTCATTTCTTTCTTAAAAAATTCGACCAGAATCAACTACCCTCCCACCCGGTCCTATCATATACGTATTCCACTTGCATTACTTTCGTATTCCGTTAGGATAAACAAAGTACATTACGCCAGTACATTCAACACTAGTTAAACTAACATTTATCGTTTGTATTTTGGTGTCAGAATGGTTTGTCTCTTCCCTCGGCCATCTGGGATGTTCTATTTGCTTTATTTCAAGGTTTTTAACTCTGTTTACTCGGCTGCAGTTCTTTTTGTGGATTTCTTGTTTGTTTAGTTATAAGTGCCGAGTCCAGCTGTGTCTGCCCTCAATATCACTTGTATTCAAAGTTATGCTGACATTCACGTTTCCCCCTCAAGACTTGGGATAACGGTGTTGGGGCAGAAATCTTCAGCGTAGCCGTAAATACTTCGCGCTGCCATACGAAGATTCACACTCGATGTCTGGAAGTATGGTCTCCGGTTATTTTTCGACAAGTGATTTAGAACAAACCCAATGAGTCGCGTCGGCTCTGGGTTTGCAACTGAAAAAGGAATCCCAACTGAGCATGCGTGTTTAAGCTAGCTCTGGCCAGGTTTCTGACCAAGCAATCCCTGGGGTATTTCCCTTGGTGCATGTCAGGCTTTAGTGATTTTGCCGAGTGAAGCTAGTCTAATATCTCTGGGGGAGGGGCGGGGAGAGTGAGGGACTAAGGAAAATTACATTTCTACCCAAGAGAATATGAAGGAGAGGGATGTTCTTTCGATGTTCTATCCTATATGGATTTGAATGTACTACATGAAAAATAATTTTAAGTTTAATCCTGTAAATAACATTAACATTTTATATGATCAACACTTCCTTAGTTGGTTAGTTATTATTAGATCTTAAACATATCGTTTAACCATTCACGCCAGACTAATCATCAAATATTATCAAAGTAACTAGCTAATTTCGAAGCCTCTTTCGCCATCTCTTCTTCACTCCGACGTCCCTTTCTCGCGAATCCATTACTTCTTTTCTCCAATCCTGGCTTATCATGTTCAGCTAATGCTGTATAAACATCGTCATTATTTTCAAAATCTCCTTTCTTCCTGGGTAATATATGGACGTGAACGTGTTCAATAGTCTGCCCTGCATCGGGTCCATCTTGAATTGAGATCGTCAAAGAAGATGCATTGAATTCTTCTTGAATGACACTTGAAATTTTCTGCGTGCTGATGAACAAGTCTGACACTTCCTCTTCTGTTAAATCCGCAAATCGCTTTACAACTCTAAAGGGAGAAACTAAAACATGTCCTTGAAGCACTGGCTTGATATTAACAAAACCAAACGACAATTTAGAGCGAAAGAAGACCACAGAAGGAGAAAGAATAATGGACCCAAACTTGAAGGCTTTTCCGGCCGCCATCTTGAATCTCAACCCTCAAGTGGTTCTGGGTATTGAGAGGTTACTCAGATTCCCAAGATGGCGGACGAGAAAGAACAGAACAGCGACAAGAAAAACGAACCGATTAAAATACCTCGTGGAAGGCCTAAATCTGGACGAGTATGGAAGAGTGAAAAAAATAAGTAAGTAGCTATCTTCTGTATAAATATTTTTCATATCGTATTTTGTTATTTGGACTTTTTCTTTCGTTTAAAGTCTTATTTATTGCTACACGTGACAACTTAACAACTTACCAAGGAGCTACATAGTCTAACAGTAATAGACTTGTCTTGTTCCGTAATTATCTATATATCCGGAATTATTTCCAGATAGAATTGCAAAGTAAAAGCTTGAATATTTTTTTTACGTTGCTTGTGTTTAAACTTATATAATTTGTCAGGAAGTCTACCATAATCAAGGTTAAGCCACTACACTCCGACTGGAAGAAAAAGCAAAAAGATAAACTGGAGAAGAAGCTACTCAAGGCGTATGAGAGTGAGCTGAAAGATACGGCAACTAAACAAAAAGAGGTAGGAACGTTTTGCTACAAAACATTAAAGTATTATCACCTATCTACTACTGTGCCATTAACATATTATACCTACACCTATATGTAATGCATCAATCTTCTAGTCTCCCTTTTACTTCTATCTATCCCTCCCCTTTGCTCTCTCTCCATTCCATCTCCTTCTCCAATCTCTCACTTCTTTCTCTCCACTTTCCTTTCACTTTTCCTACTGTCCCTTTCCTCTATCACTTCCCTCTCTCAACTCCTGGATCCCTTGTCATCGAGATTTTTTTGTTTCCCATACAGCTAGCACTGACATTGAAATAGTAATAATATTAATACTTATATAACTTGCTTGCCACATTCTTCATACATTAGGAGAAAAGAAAGAGGCAAGAAGAGAACAAAAAGAGACGGGAAGAAAATGAAAGAAAATCTCAAATTGTTCAAGTTGTAAGTATCTACTGAGTTCTCTGGTTTTCCTCCCAAGTCATAAAAATCAGCATGTGAGTTGAATGTTGCATAATAAAATATCAAGAAAGAGCCTATTATGGGGAGTGATATTTATAACATGAAAAAAAGCTCAGAGTTGAAATACTTCCTACAACTACAGCTAGAAATGTCCATTTTTTGCTGTTGCAGGACCATGCAAAAGTGATCTCTTTATTTCTTTGAATGTTATACACTTTTCTTTTATATTTATAGATAAAAGACACTTCCAAGATAAAGAAGATGAAAAAAAAGCATCTAAGACAAATAGAGACAAGATAGTATATCGTATTTGCAAATACTATACTTCCCATACAGTATTCTTGTCCATGGCATTTTCCTGCTTGCATCATTACAGCCTCGTACTTCCATATTCAAGGGGTACACCACATACATTGATACAACAATAGCTGAGCAAGATTTGGATAATCAAGATTCAAGTCTGGATTGATTGGCTGTAGGTTGAATGCTCCAGGTTCGATTTCACTGTTGCTCAGGTTTAGCCTCAATTATAGCTAGAGTATTCATGTGTGCTTGTGTAGGTCTGGTATTTCAAAATGTGTTGTCAAAGTTGGTGCATTTTATAAGGGTCAATATTTAAGGAAGTGAGGCTAAACCAGAGTAAGTAATCAGTTGACTTGTCTCTCTTCATGAATGTATGGTTCAGTAGCTTTTATTCTATATTATATGTGTGTATGTTGTGGGGGTGGGGTTGGGGAATCTCCTTTTCCAGGAAGGGGAAGGGAAGGTATCGCACACTTGCAACAAGTTATTTAGGCTGAGAAAAACTCTTAATTTTATTTGTTTGTTAATGGCATCAAATTTATCACAGCCATTACAGATAAACAGTAGTAAATAGTTATGAAACTCCATTAAATTGATATGAATAAATACATCATAAAATATTGCTGATATATATTAAGTTAAATTCAAATTCATCACATCCATTACAGATTGACAGTAGTAAAAGTTATGAAACTCCATAAAATTGATGAAAAAATATACATCATAGAATATTGCTGATATCTATTAAATTAAAATTATTTAAAATACACTTAACTGTTAATTGGAATCCAAGAACCCATTGTTATATCACACAGTTAATACCAGTATGCTCACCATCCCTTGGTTATTGCTTCTTCTTTGTTAGAAAAGAGATAGATCTTTGCAATATGAAGTTAAAACAAAAGTGAGACTTTTGACCATTTGATGAAGTCCAACCAACAATCAGCCAATGATGTAAATGTTTTTTTTGGCATGTACTGTAAATTATTGAGTGAAAAATGTAAAGCAGCATAAAAGTTATTAATACAAGTCACACAAGTGGCTTTGCGAACATATTAACGTTCAACATCTTGATTTCATGATGGGTGCTCTACCAACTGAGCTACTGAGTTGACTATAGAGTACAAGGATTACCTCTGATGATGAACACTTGTTTTCAAATATGATTATATATTATTTAACCTTTCCACAAAATTAAGTTCAAATTAATATTATTTATCCGTTTTATCCTTCCTTGGACCGACCAATTTTTCCCACCAACCGAAACCCCAGAAGTGTTCCTCATTAAACTTCGGTGGATCCCTGCGGATTGTCCGTCCTTTGTCATTTTTTTCTATTTCCAAATCACGAAGCTCCTTCCTCATTATATCATTGCTCCATGCCTGGTAGCTGGCTTCATCTCCCCAGTCTGAAGATGGTGCCGTGAGAGGTGTTAAAGGGAGATCCTGTGAACCCTGTTCTTTAGATTTCTCTTCCTTTTCAAGAAGATATTCTCTTCTCTTGTGTTCTCGAGTACGCCTTCTTTGCTCAGATCCTTGCCTCTCTTCTATCGTGCCAACATAAGGAACAAATAACTGAGGTATATGACTAGAAACTTGGTAAGGCTCACACTGCATTTCATTTAAACGTGATATACAACGCTTAAAGGAAAAGATCTCATCCTCCCCGGTTAAGATCCCAAGAGATCTTAGATCAAGCTGAGTAAGTTCTAAATCATAAGCCATTTCTCCTATCATCTCTAAATGCATTTTGTCATTATATGTAGGCCTCTCGTCTTCCTTCGGTATAAGCTGAAACAATTCCTCGGGTTTACTAGCTGCAGAACAATAGAACTTTACTCTGCTTTCATATGCGGCATCCACTAAACTTAAAAACCTGCGTGCTTCATTCTTCTGGTATATACTCATTCGTGGTATATTTTCCACAAATACGGTATGGTAATGATTACATATTGTGATGTAATCAGCTGGTCCAAGAGGTGACCGGCAAAGTTCTTCAAAGGTAAACCTTGCCACACCATTGACTGAAGCTATCGGCACGACAACATTGCGGCCATAAACCTGTAATGCTGTTCGTGTCAGTTTAGTATCTGGGCCAACTGCGTCACAGAAAGCTTGGTTGAAGAGTTTCTCAGTTCGTGAATCTGTAGGAAAAAAGTAGGTTGCCTTGCCTCTTTTCTGGGTATTTCTGTAATCCATTCCAGACTCCATAGCAACCTGTTCACAGTTGTCATTCAATAAACCCATCAGTGACATCACAGATGCTTTTGCCTCAGTCTCTCGACCAAATGAGGATGCACCAAGGTCAGTAGGTGATCGATTAGATGTTGCCACAACAACAAGACCTCTATCAAACATGTTTTGGAATATTCCTTCAAGAAGACGAACAGAGCCGTAGTCAGTAACTTGCATTTCATCAAAACAGAGTAGCCAGGCTTCGCTAGTTAACTTATCTGCTAGATTATGTATTGGTGTTGTATCAAATGTGCTCTTGTCATCTGGGCAGCAGAGGTTCCAATGATTTATCTCGGAATACAGCTGGAGCATGAAGCTGTAAAAATGTACACGCTTCTTGTGCTTTGTTGGTACCGATTCATAGAACATGTCCATCAGAACTGTCTTGCCTGTACCAACACCACCATAGAGGTATAGACCTTTGGGAACATTACTACCTATTGAATAAATAGGACTTATGATTAGTGATCCATACCATCTTACAGCGCAACGTGCAAACATTTGACTACGTTTGATGTATTCGCATACTTCATAGCCCTTGTAGCTTGAAAGTTAACAGGTTTCTCACCTGGTTCAGATGTCTCTGTCACTGTACTCTCGGGTCTATCCATTGGATTGTAGTCCTTAACTCGTTCGTAAAGATCCTGTAGCTTTGAAACAGCTCGTAGTTGACAAGCATCAGGTTTCAATACTTTCTTTTCCAGGTGTGAGTTGTATAAATGCAGAGGACCTTGAGTGATGGTAGATTTGTATCGGGGTGAAATAGGTGTTATTCTTTGAACATAAGAAATCAGTGGAGTGACTGCCTTGATCTTACGGCCAACTCGATACATCGCTAGAAGACACTGTAAATGGTTTTTCTGACAAATTATATATCTAAAAAAATGCTAAAGCTGCTAGAAAAATCGGATGTAATAAAGGAAAATAACTCCAATCAAAGAGACGCCATTACATAACAACATTACGCTGAGTGTCTGCTGACCAGTAATACTGCTGCTTCATTTACAAGTACCACAGGAAACCCAACGAACTTTCCAGATTAAAGATCATAATGATGATCATGATTATTAGCGATAATTAAAATTTGCGATAATGTTGATAGATAATAATGAAGATGATATAGCTTGTGATTATGATGATCAATAAGCAGCATTGTTGACGATAAAATCAAATAGTAGCATCGAGTCTAACTCGAAATTTTCAATCTTTTATTGTTTTGGTAATCAATAGTATTTCTGTGTTCTTACAATTAATTTATTTACATGTGGTTTTATTTGTGATAGTTACACCATGAGAATCCAGATTTTGAAGAACGATGTATGTCTTTGTGTTGAACAATAATGTTTTTCCATTTAATACGGTAAGAGTTTGATATTTCATAGTGAAGCTAAAAGCTAATATCTTTTCGAATCTTTCCTATATGTGTACTTTTTCTGAATTAAATTKTATTTGATATAATTATAAGCGTTCCAATCTTAGCAAATGAGAACAGGCTTGAACTTAGTTTTCACATCTTCGGATTTAAAAGCGCAAGCCGTGCATATAGCGATCCAGTTCTTATCATCAATATTTCTTTATTTTTAAACAAATTACGATTTCGGTATGACTGTGAAAAGTTAAGAATAGTGTCGTGCCATCACCGTGAAACTGCTGCGTCTCAATTCTGATTGGATGAGAAGTAAGCTCACAGTTTGTGACTGACTAAAGGAACAGTAATACGTCTAATGATAGTGCGTAACATGTTGCGCAACATTTTGCGGAACGCTGGATGATGGTGTTGAAAGTTGCAGAGCGATGCTGCTCGATGCCATTTCCATTCACAGAACAACAACATTAGTTGCGCAACAACACAGCAAAGAGAAGATTATGCGCGCAACATTGGCTTGCAATTTGTATCGCAATTTGTATCGCATAATTTTCTGGCTGTATTTCTTTTTAAGCGTGACCGTGGCGGCGTGTGTCGTGTTTCCCCCCGGCCCACAGTCATACAAAATTAACTTTAACATATATGTCAGGCTACATTTACACTAAGGAAGGGAGACGCTATGGCTAGGGCTAACACTTTTGTTTTTGGTGTCCCCGGGAGGGGGAGGGGGGGGGGGAAAGAAAACAAAAGAGTTGTTCCAAGCACCAGGGCCACATTACCTTCATGTAAATGGCGCCTTATATTTGCTTGCTCTTTTATTTCTAAGTGAAGACTAAGCTCAAGCCAAATAAAATATCAAATATCTCAACGGGATGGATTAAGATCAAGCCTCATATTGCTATTGATTATGTCCTGAGTTTGGCGGTAAAGGTACTGTCTGGTAAGATATATTTTCATTTGATGGTTGCATATATCGGGGTATATGGACCGGATATGGGGCATTCCGGTGATCCCGTAGAGCTGGGAATCCCCGGTAAACAGCAGTTGAGTTGACAGGCGAAGTGGGATGGTTTACTGGCGATGTCACGGTGTAACTGATCCCTACCCCTCCAGGGACAGTAACACTTATAGGTGACGTCATAATAGGTTGGGAATATGATTTGTCCATGTTATCCATAGGAAGACTGCTAACCATACTACACTGCCGGCTCGCTGAGAACGAAGAAATAGCAATAGTCAAGATAAGTAGTCAACATTTTGTGCTCTCTTCTTATCTATCTTTGACCAAATCTAACGAGAAGAGGCAAATATATACCAAAGAGCTACTATTGCTAGTCTAAGGGACCCGTGTCACTATTCTCACTAAGTCGGAGGGGTGGGGGGTGAAGGAGAAAATGTTTTTGATGCAAAACATTTTCCAGACCCCAACCTAATAGCATTCAAGTTTTTCGGGTACCCCCTTCAATCGTTTAAAAAATTCTCCCATTCCTCCTTTTGACCTTTCAAGCCCCCCATGTTCCACTAAAAAGTATGAGGGCCCCCATTTTCTCCTCTACCCCCCTCCACTCCCCTCCCCTCCGACTTAAATAATGACTGGTTCCTAACTTACCCATCATCATGTTGCGACTGTCTACTGGAGCTTCTGTTCTTGTTGGTGATGGATACGTATTATCGCTAGATTGTCTCGGTCGATTCGAAGATAAGGATGGACCAGATGATTCCATCTGCTTCATTACTTCTACCACACTAAAAACGACAGAGTCAGTTACTAAGCTAGAAAATTGTGCAAGTAAGACAGACAGACAGACCGACAGACCGACAGACCGACCTACAGGATACACAGATAGACATACATAAAGACTGACAGAAAGGGAGACAGACAGACAAACAGGCCTAAGCTTCATTAATTTTTAAGGACGCAATCTGGAAAAAAATTAGTGAAAATTCCAAAATGTTTTAAAAAGTCGGACCTAGTGGTATTTGATTCTTTAAGCGTGCATCTTGGGGCTGTTTAGGGGACGAAATATACGCCATCTTGTAAATAGGTCTCCCAAAATAGCCTCACGATGTATTTGAATGCCAGCTTGACTCAGTTTTCCCGCCTCAACCTTGGAATGGCTAATAGTCATTCATGTAACCATCTGTAAATATCTATTGTTTGTAATATTGCGTGCGCGAGAGACATATTTTTCTTCAACAAGACGACAAATCTGACCCTGTGGTTCTCAAGGTTGAATTATCTAAGCATTCCTTATCCAATTGAAGCAGCATCCCTACTGAACATCTGCTTGAGATGTCTGGACTCGTACAAGGTGAAAGCGGTTATCTACCATTTGAATTTACTGACCCTGGTTTGAATTTGCGGGAACCACTGGCGAACTGGCCATCGATTAACTGACCGTTCAAAAACACTTTAAGTTTGTTGATCGAATCTTAATAGGCTATAGTTTATTAACGGAAAGAACTGTTGACGGAAAGCAAATGGCGGGGTATTTTTGTAGGTCGATCTATGAGGATAATAACTGTACAGAGCAGTTTTAGTAACACTGTAACGGAATCTTAAAGTCTTGAGGCCTTCTTTAGATAAGGTTGCGCAAGGCGATTTAGTGTCAGATACTGTGCCTCTCTACTCTCTGGAGTGTTCAATACTAAGTGAACAGACAGTATCACATCAGCAAAAGCTCGTACTCACCAGTCATCTGGATCGCAGTCACGAAAGCCTTTAGCAAATGGGTTACTGGCAATTTTCAACTGTGTTATCTGCAAGGAATCAAGAGTTTACAGTTGAGTGAAGTATTTGCGGTATTTCAGTCTAATAGTTCTGCTAGAAAAGTGCGCAAAGTTCAAAGCTGCATTTGAGATAAAGAAGGGAAAAAAAAAAAAAAAAAAAAAATTTAAAAAAAACAAAAAATAATTAAAATAAGAACAAAATTAAAAATTTTTCACAAAATGTGCGAAAGTTCGAACAGCGCGCAAATGCCACACCTACAACTACAAGAAAAAAGAAAAAAGAATAGAAAAAAAAAAAACGAAATAAACTCAGCTAGTAAAATGATACATACGAAAATAAATGCAGTTACAAAATAACTAGGTAAAGTAGAATTAATCGTTTTTAATTTTTCTAAGCCACTTGAACTCATCGAGGTAATTCAAATAGAGTATTATTTACGACCGATTTCAGTCAACGTTTTCGCGCACCAACTGTTTTCGATACAGCAATTCAAAAAATAAATACACTTGTAAATCTTGCTTAAATATCATCAGGGGCGTAGGGCGTAGGGGAGGGGGCCAAATTCAAAAATCCACCATTTTGTTTGGGTCTCCGAAACGCCGAGGGGAAAAGCATTAAAAAACGACATTACTTTGAACGCTTTTTTTTAAAAACGAATTCTAAAAAGCCCCCATCTCGTTGTCATGAAGAGGGCCCCTGGTCCCGTTGGTCACCCCTCTGCCTACGCCCCTGATTGTAGATTTTGTTTTTCGAAATTTTCATTAACGGGATTTTGATACACAGTCAATAGTCAAGATTAAACCAGGATACTTTAAGGAGGTATTTTATCGTAGATTAAATAGTTGAAATTGCACACAACACCGAAGACTTGTGGAATTGTTTGATTTGTGGTCAACAAGGCGTATCTTCTCGAACCACAAGCAAAAACATCAGAGAAAGAGACTCTGGTTTGGCAGGGTATTAATCATTCAAGAATTACGATATCTGCTGCTTAAAACCCAAGCTTCAAATTAGCTGTGAAGCGTCTGCATATGGTAAAGCAGACGCTGTCAAGATAATTGATATTAAAATACTTGCGAGGGAAGAGCAGCGCAACGTCTACGAGAGAGAAATAAAACGAAGACCTCTGCTATGCGATACCGAAATTACACTGATTTTCTATCCATTTCGCACATTAAGTAATATTTAAACAAGTTCTAGTTTCAAACTAAGCACTTGATTGAGCTATAAGCGCATTTCGTGCAATAATTCAAAGTGTTCCACAAGTCATTAAGATAGCAAATCTAATTAAGTGGGGCATTGATAACTGGACGTGACCTCGACCCCCTTCAAGACGTCACATCTTACCATGTGATTCTGATAAGCAGTCACTGCCATGAACTGACACTCCGTGAAGACGAAGGTGCGAATGTGATCTCGCTTGACGTCCTGTAGATTGGCGCTCGTGCTTTTCTCGGAGGTTACTAGAACGATGTGGAAGCGGGGCTGGTACTTGTGCATCGAATTCAAAATTATCTGCAATAAATCATATTAATTATATAAATCATATAACGGCAATACAACTGTATACCTTGGGCGTATAATGTTTCCCATTTCAAACCATGTGTCATTCCTTTGAGTATTGTTTCTTTGTTTAACGGTCGTGTATAAATTTGACACATATGGCTTCAAAGGCAATGGTTTTCACATTCAGACTTTCATAAAAATATCGACTCTTGAAACTTTCCTAGAGTGTATGCGAGCTTAGCCTTGAAACCAGGAGTTTCTCGTTTTTTTCCTTCTAATTTATTTTGTTTACCGACCCCAGGAGTGAGGCTAAGACCGCATACACTGGCGTTCTAAGAGTCGTCAATATGGATATCACTCAACAAAAAAATTTATTTTAAAGAGATGACACGTGGTCTGAAATGGGAAAACATTACGCCTGAGATAAAGAGGTCTGTTATTAATATGAACGGTTGGCTATTATTTAATGAAAATAAGTTTAAACAACATTAATGCCTGGCATTCTGAATTAATGTAATATTAAAATAATAATATTAATAATATTAAATCAGGTAACGAGCTCCCAACTTCTTCTTTATTTCGATTTTGATGATAATTATTATCACGCTGCTACCTCGTAATTTGTGTTATCATCAATCTTTTAGAGGCTTTTAAGGAATAGGATACCATGCATACCATAAAGCTCTTTAACTTGGGCGTAATGATTTCCCATCTCAGATCACGTGTTATTCCCCAGAGTATCATATTTTTGTTTAACGGTTGCGCACGAGAGGACACATGAATATGGATATAACTCAAACAAAGGATATTATTCTCAAGGGAACGACAGGTGGTCTGAAATGGGAAAACATTACGCCCAAGGTATAAAGATGTCTATAGTATGCGTGGGGGTAATGAGCAATATACCCCATAACTTCAAGGTAATTAATATTTTCCCATTTTTGAGCAGTCACGACCAACATCCCAAAAGAGACCCACGTGACATTTCGTTAATACACGTCATACTCACGTGACCATTATCGTCCATCAGGTTATTGGTCAGTTTGAGTTTATCAAAAGACACGATCTGTTTCATCCACTGGGCGCCAGTACACGRTGAATCAGGGTGAATGTGCACGCGTCCAGGTACACTGGGATCAGCTTTTCCCGCCACTAACCACTTGGAGCTGTGGAAGGCGTACCGGTAACGTTTGTCATCAACGGGAACAAAGTCCATCATCAGGATGTATTTGACGTTAGGGTCCAGACCGAATAGACGAACTTGGAATGGGGGGAACATTCTCCTGCAGAACGAAGAACGAATGAAGGGTAAATAAAGATTTATTCTCGAGGTCCATAACTATAATAATGGACTTCTGGTACAGTTTAGGTGCGAATGATGCAGACGTCTCTAAGTATTGCACCAAAATTTACTAAAATTCCTTCAATATATGATCTATCTTTTAGAGCTGTGTTTAAACTCAAGCTGTTGGACTGTTTTCAAAGCGAGAAGGTATTTATCTATCCATTTCTTCAACTATTCATCCTTATTTTCATTTTCATTTATTCAACAATTTATTCCATCTATTCATCCATCCATCCATCCTTCCATCCATCCATCCATCCATCCATCCATCCATCNATCCATCCATCCATCCATCCATCCATCCATCCATCCATCCATCCATCCATCCATCCAAGTATACTTTTGTTCATATATCCTTTCATCCTCATTTCTTTCTCCTTTCCATCCTTTCCTCCACCAGCTCCCATATATCCCACCTAGTTAACTTCTCCTCATCAAATATTCATACAATCCTCCCTTAACGACGCATCCATCCCACCACTCCTCGTGTAATCATCCAAGATCTTAAATGAGATTAAGAATTTCCGCCAGAACAACATTCATAATAACCTACACCAATTTAACGTAACCCTAAGTATCCAACATGCCAAGATTTCAATAAATCTTCCTCTAAAGTCAGACTTTTAATCTAAGATGCATATTTCAAATTAATCATTCTCGCCATGATACGAGTATTAAATATCCAAGAGTGTTTTTGTGTTCTTCAGAAATCATTAGAGAGGTATTCCAGCGACCATACTTTAAAATAATCATGGGAATAAACCCGTTATTAATCGTACTTAAATGTTTTTTCGGGGTAATCGTTATGGTGATTAGAGTCATAACCAGCTGCGAGAGACAGCCATTATTCGCTCCCAGTGTGAATGACAATCGAATACTTCAGTATTGCCAAATGTTTTCCAGATGTACAAAGCCATTAAGGAGATACTTTAGCTTGCTCTCGGATGCCCTCAATGAGCATCATCAAGCCTAACAACTATCACTTGTGGTTTGGCAATGCTCTCTCCCAGCCTCAAACATTCTGACAATTTTGATTTTGTTTCTTTAAAATATCGCATATTTTGAATTTTTTAGGCTTGGAAACTATTTTATAATGGAGTAATATTTTCTGCGTTTTCACAAACATATAAGTAATTTCTTTTCGAAAATTACCAAATATCAATTATCTTTTATGATATATACTTTATTTATTATATATAATTTTATCTCTTGCCATAGCGTACCAGAGTTTTATTTCAAACGTACTTTGTTTTTTTTGTTGTTGTTGGAAATGTTGGTGCGTTTGTTTGCATTTTTCTAAATTCTCCAATGTTATTCTCCTGTATGTTTATTTGTATGCAATGCTCTTCATTCCTGTAACTTCATTCTTGTAACCCCATTAATTGTACTTTGAAACCATCAAACCAGCAAAGGGTGACCCTGGCTGTTAGGAATGTTCATCGCTAACAGAGTCATCCAAAATAGATTAGATTACACTACAAGTTGCCTCGGGGCTCTTGTCTCGATCTATTTCGCAGGCGATGAGAGAAGCACTCGCTAAATTTAACTCCAGGAGCCCCTTACGCCCAAAGGTGACCAAATTAAAACACTTCAACTTACAGGGTAAACGCTGAATGTCACGAAAACCAAACAGCTTCGACAAAAGTAAAAATATACTCTGAAACGTGTGGAAAAAACTTCGCAGTGAAAGTGAGACGAATTTGACACGTTTGGTTTACAAGGATGTGAGAATAACAGGATTAGTTATAATAAAAACTAATAGCATTAAAAATATATTATTGAAAAATTGCTTCATTACAAAATCCTTGAAATTTTAAAAAGAAGTTGTGTTTTAGTCAATGCAGAGAACCGTTCTACACAAAGATACAATAGTATTTCTCTTAAATGACCCGTAGTCCACGCAGTGGAGATAGCCTGGTGATATTGGAAATATTGATTGCACGAAATGATAGACTTAGAGCTCGAAGAACGACATGTCTAGATAAAGGATGTATTCTTATCTCAATTTTTAGAAAATATAAACACGATTTAGGAAAACTTAAGTCATTAGGGATTAAAAAAGAGGGCTTTTTACTCTGATAAACCAGTGTGTAATATGAACGAGCTTGCACGTATCACGCTGCGCATTTGATAATATTCACATAGATTTTGCACCTTATAAGTATTAGATATAATAATAATTATTATTGTTCACGTTGGAACGTCTCAACATATCTTCTTTCAAAGGGATTCTATTTTCAACACAGATAGTATTTATACTCGAGTCTTAGTGCTAAGAGGCTAAGACGAGTATAAATGATACAAAAACGTTGAGTTGTATATACGAGTCCGAGGTCATTCATATTTCATCATAACAGATTCAATTCCCTTGTCTTTCCGCAAACCTGTTATGTGAGGAAAAGATGTACTTCACACGCTCATTTATACGTACTTATCTTATAACATACACGCGCTTCTGTCATAACCACAGCTAGAATCTATCTTTTCGCGCTTAGATAGTTTCCCCACTTAACCCTAAGCACTGCAACCACTGTCGAGCAGACCAACGCTCACTACATATTTCCATGATTTTGATCATTTGTCGAGCTCACGAGTAGACTCTGCGAGGACACTCTGCCAGCAAGGCTCACGAAGCTCAACATTGAAAGACGGTTTTCTTCGAAACGTTTGTGACTGGTGTTGTACAAACGTATCAATGCATAACACAGAAATTGCTGGTCGATATCTTCGAAATCTTATAGTTTAAAAAGCCGAAGTTAAGATTGCTGGCCATGGCTAAATCTACAAAAGTTCGTCGCACAGAAAATTCAGAGAGATAGAGGACATGACCCAGCGAAAGTTTTCGCTGCGTAGTAGTTTTAGTAGCAAGAGGTATTGATGGTGGTGGTAGTAGTTACACAGGGAATGATCGTAGTAGTGGTAGTGAAAGCCGGATCTAGAATGTGTCGAGTGGTGGTGGTAGTCGTCGTCGTATCATAGTTGTATTTGGAATAGTCGTAGCAATTGTAGTTAGTATAGTAGTGGTGGTGGTGATAGAGGAAGTAGTAATAGTGGTTATGGAAGTGGTTGTGATGTGGTGGTGGTAGTTGCGGTAGTCGTAGCTGTTGTGGTTGTGGTGGTTGCAGTTGTAATAGTGGTACTGAGCAATTGTGGTTAGTAGTGGTGGACTGGTAGTAGCCTAGTGATAGGGGTAGTAGTGATAATTGTGGTAATAATAAATGTGCTGGTGGTAGTTGTGAAAATCGTAGTGATTGTGGTGGTAGAAGTAGTACTAGTAGTTAAATATTGTTTCTATACTAAATATTACCTTTTGCAGCAGCAAAAGTAGTAAAAGTGAAGAATCAAAAATAGGAAAAAACATAAAATTGTAAGTCTTTTTTCCTTCCTTCAGGACAACCATTATATTTACTGCAAACTGTTTCTTCTGTACAGCTATTAGATAAGATTACAATTTCTATCTTTACATGTAACAAGTCTGATTCAGTGAAAAACCTCTGTAAATCGTTACATCCTTTATTTTCATTTCGTGTATTCAGGAAATGACATATCTTCAATCAATCAATTCAATCAATCAAATTCAAATGGTTTCCTAAATCTCCGAAAACAAATTATCATCATTAAACAGTCAAAAATAAACTTCCTTGCCCGCAACATAACGATTCAAAGACTCAGGAAAATAAAAGGATAGAGAGCTGTTATGGAATGTAAAGCAAAAAATAATAATACAATGTTTTTGAATGACAAAAGCATGCTTTGAAAATGTTTTGCTCTAAAACACAGCTGCCACGGAACCATTCTACATACTACATCTTTCTTTACAAATACGAAAAGCAGGCACAGAGAAATTTGCTCCTAAGAGAAGCATTTTATATAATAATTTGTGATGGCGGATAAGTTTTACTGAACTGCCTCAACGCTAGACTTTGCTATACTGTAGAGTGACTGACAAAGTGCAACGGCACTGTGCAACTAGTGTAAAAAACGACTTTGATTTTCTTCTACGCCGCGAATGAATACAGAAAAAAGTGAAGGGAAATATCCTTCCTTTTTACCCGAAATACTCATGTTTTACTCTCTTTATTGAGCACACTGATTCCGATCCTGATGAAAAAGGGGTAATTTTGCTTCAGGTGCCATTTAGTCAAGCCATGGGATGTATGTATGAAGCTAGAAAAGTAGTGTGTGTTCCCCCATATACTGGGGAATGCATATGAAAGAGCGGCTCGATTTATCGTGGTAAATCATAATGATAGCTATTTATGAGGCCAAAACTGGGTTAAACCAACATGTTTTAGATGATGTTAAGCATAATAACTTAAATCTAAATACCATGAACACACTGTAACATGTGCATCTGGACCTCTGTTCGAAGTGACTGCGAGACATCGTTAGGGAGTACTTTGACGATGGATACCAATTCAATGGCGCGAAAGGAATAAATAGCTGCGCGCTCGCTTAAACTTTGTCATATGCAGTAAACTATGATGTTATCTTTCATATTCTCAAAAGTCTTAACCTTAAACTAAAATCTGGCATTGAGATTGTGCGTGGAATGAGTGTGTGGATTTAGCTCCGAAACTAAGAGATGTCTTTGATGAAGTGCGCAAATTCGAACTTTTAAATATAATATATCTTTAAGTTCTTTTTCAGTTTGCTGTTAAAATCTACTTTGTACTTGAATTTCGGCAATTCAAAATTTTGCTAGGCCAATCCTCGCCTCTTCCATAGAGCACGCTTAGCATGCAGAGCCCAACAAACCGTGCACTAAAGTATGTGAATGCATGGTGGTCATATAGTTGGATTCGCGCTGTCACCTTTACACTCGTATGCATGATTCCCTTCAACGTTATATTTCAAGAATGTCAGTATTAGAAATATATTCTGTTTGAGAATAAGAGGAAATTTCGAAAATACCAGAAGCTAGATTCCTCATTTGTAACGACGAAAATTTATCTGAACCATGATGAAGAAGCTGGATGAGTGGCGCTTGTGAAGACATGATACAGAACTGGCTGGTAGGATATTATGCTTGCTTGCTATAAATAACGGTTTATTTATTTGTAGTTAATGTCAAGATTATTCGTTATACCAGGCTTTCTCTCTCGAGTGGAAGAAAATGATTCCTTCTCATAAATTTACAAAGTTATTTTTGCAGTTTTTGCTTCATAACCTGCTAATAATACCGGCTGTCTGAAGAGAATATTACTTTGCGCTATCTACATTTACTTCACAATTGCTATTCCGTTGACCAAATTATGTGCAGAAAATATAACAAAGACAAGAAGTATGTAACATAATGGCTTTTCACTCTGGCTATGAAGTTTCTAGAGAATTCCTAGCAGTTGTTAAGTAGCTTAGTCCACAGACAGGGGTAGACTTGAAAGGGTTTAAATCTCCGCGCTATAAAGTTACTCTGTGTTGGCGAAGTTGCGGCAGATTCAGTTGTCAATATCAGATGCTGGATCATAACGCGTGGGAATTGTAAAAATAAGCCAAAACGTTGGGAGAAACGTTTGAAGTATAATGCTCAGAAAAAAGTCTTGATATTTTAGCTAAATATTTTCTAATATCCAGCTGTGTAAATTTTATGTCATGTAGGATAAAGCATGGCTATTTATTCTTCAGAAAATATTTTTCTTCTTCAACAAGTGACTCCAAGTTTACGATAAAAACAAAACGTTAACACAAAATTACAAATCAAACAAGGCTACCTAATCCTTTAGACAACTAGAGTGACCACAAACAACGTTTTTTGTTTTTTTTAGGAAATACAAACAAACAAATTTTATCCTCTTTGAATTCCAAAGACAGTTCGGAACGCGTGGAGAAAGAGATTTTTCTTTATTTTTGCTCGAGTAAGGAAAAACGTTGATATTAACTGGAACGTTCTGCAGTATTCTCGGAGGAATGTTCACTGAAAGGAGATGTGTACATTTGTGTTTTTGACGGATTTGCTGAGACACATTCTTGTAAAACCAAACAAAAACTTAAACTATCAGATAAAAGGAAAATACGAAGAGTTTTGTTAAAGAGGAAAAAACATTTGTGTTTTGAACGAACTGAAGATACTCGACCTTAATGTTGAAGGACTTAGATATTTTAAAAAAATACTGAAATACAGTTTTGTTTTGAAAAGAAGCTTGAAGTTTAAGAGCAAGAAGTTTAGTTATTCATTTAAAAGGCTAATGTTTAAATTTCACGAGCTCATTTTTGGCTCAAGAATTTTTTGCGTTGGTATATATTGGTGTTCTCAACAGGATGGTGTGTGAAATCCAAACCAATTACTGAAGAACGGAAGTCGTCCATCTTACTACATCAACTACGACAATCTTTCTCAACTATGCTACCATTAGATAAAACCAATAGTTCGGACCACAGTTCGTCTCTAAACTCAAGGAAGAAACAAGATAAGGAACAGTACAAGTTAACAGATGTTAGAACATCACCACAAAAGGGAACTTACTTAGGCCACACACGCGAAAGAGCAGTCAACTGAGTTTCTTGTCAAAGAAAATAAAGCTACTGCTGTTTTAAGCATTCAGAAAATGGCCTTTGTTTGTGTAAGTTGAGCAATCATAGCAAACACAGTGTCATTTTTTAACGGGTTTAACAGGCGTTCGTTGCAATGTAAACTATTGAAGATGTTAATGTTTTTCTTACATCAGTGAGTTACAATCCTTTTCACCTTTGTCTGTAACCATTAACGGCTTAAAATACACGAGCCAAGTGATTGAAAAGACATTTCTTCTGCGATTATTTTAAGTACTCGTGTGCCTAATAAATACTTAAGATCATTTTGATTCAATACTTAGCGAATTTAGAAAAACCAATAGTCAAATAAAAAGCGCAATTTTGAAACATTAACCAAGCTTGTATAAAAATGCAAGTTGTTTTCATTTAAAGCATAAAAATGATTCTAGAATGACTATATAATTTAGGTCAGTTCCTCTGTGACTTTCTCGATTTATGTGGAGAAGTATTCGTAGACAATTGCTCATGGTATTTACTTTCAATTAATGGAATGTAAATAACGAGAGGATGAACTTGTTTGAAAGTTGTTAAGATATTGACTCATGAAACACTTCGTAAGTTTGTTCGCATTTCTTTGTGTACCCAGTTAGATCTTGGTTATTTATCCATAGGAATCCTACCTCATTATCACAATAATTATTATTGGAATAAATATAAGGCATCGAACTCCCATTAGAGAGCCAGTTCAAAAAATAAAAACGCAATTATCTAAATCAAACTAGAAGTAAATTTTCATTCTGTCCCAAAGAGCTGAATGAACCAAATAGCTTAGATAGTAATGGTTTGATATTGTTTAATCTAGTTAGCTAGATAAATAAATATCTGGTTTAAAAACCTTATATTTGGCAATAACACATTGAAGGATCATTCAAAGTCGCATCTTACCTTCCAGCTTTAGTAACGATCATCTCAGTCCCTAAGGAATAGAATTCATCCCATAAATTTTTCATTTCTAATTCTACCCGAAGATGCTGTAAGCTACTGGCTGTCGGTGTAGTAGGGGGAGAGGCCGTAGCTGAAGACGGGGACGAATGCTCGGACGAGGAACCATCTTCCAAGTTCCTAGGAACGGATACCTGCGAGGACGAATTCGTGGAAAGCTTCTTTCCTGTTCCGGCGTTACGAAGATGTTCTGTTGAAACAATCATAATCTAAATGGAAATCATCTTAGGTTTTATGCCCACTGAACGACAATTTATGTCTAATTGATTAACCAGATTGTGGGAACTCCGTGCGCAGTGGTAAATATTCTGCGAGCATCCATTGCTGGAGTTATCGTAAAAGGAATTTCACCACTTCATGTTTCAGAAATATCAAGCTTTAAAACCTTTGGTAAGATGATTCCTGAGCTAAAAACTGTGAGAAAACAATTATAATACTTCGTGGATGAGTAAAGTGTGTCTTAATGACTCAACTAGTCATTTGTAGGGCATCATCATGATCAATAACTATTACCATAACGTGGTCTTCGTAAGTGCAGATGTAAAAGGAATCCAAATCCTTAGATACTAAAGCAATTCCCTTTGGATATTGAAAACTGGATCTTTACCTTACCTTCTAAATAACTCAGTATCATTATATCTCAGGCTTATGAAGCTAACTGTGTGTCGTTTGTACTCGTTCAGGCTACGTCAACGTGAGTGTTGCTGCAGCAGGACACTATATAGAATTACTGGCACTAGAGGTCTTAGTATGCGTATACCTATCATGCCAAAATCAATTGCAACCCCACTTTGACATTTCACACGTTAAAAGAGGTCTTAGTATGCGTATACCTATCATGCCAAAATCAATTGCAACCCCACTTTGACATTTCACAYGTTCAACGTAAACAAATCGGAAAATGCGCACAACGATGATCAAAATTGTCACTGTACCTTCCATGTCTCGCGTGAAGTTCTGCGAGTCCCAGCCGAAAATGGGACTCTGTCTGTTGACGTCAAACAGTTCTGAAAGCTGGGATGCGTCGATAAGATGTGCAATAGAGAAGGCGTTAGCTTTAGGAGACAGGAAACCGGAGGAGTCCATCAATGAAATAACTACTGCCCTGTAACGATCCTTGATGCAGGGCAGATGCGGCTGGAACTGAGCTTTGGGATTCGCGCTCTTTTGGAAGTGGCGATTGAAGGCTTCGAAGAGTGGATGAACGCCGTCGCGTCATGCAAGGCTTGAAATCGGTCTTACTGAATGCTGTGCGATACCCTAAAGATGGAATTCTCAGTATCTAGATGATTTAAACCCTACGTCACTCAACGGTCCAATTATCTGAACAAAAACCTGTCACCTGAGACGTTGAAGTGCAAAGAATGATGCGCAGAAAGACGTGCGCTGTAAACGGTCACTTTCTCAATCATTGATCGTGTAAACACGAAATAGTATTCCCTTAGATCGATCTTCGTTCAAGAAATCGCATGGATTTGTGTGAGAGTTATTTCAAGAGGGCAGACAAGAAAGGATTTCCGCTTTGCGATTGAAGGGACGTTCTTCATGCCAGAGTAAGCTCGCAGCGGTTTGGAATAACACACTGACGGTATAGGATATCGATTGACCACAAGTATTGCCGTGTATAAGGACAAACCTATCATTGAGATAAACTCCAAGTGCTCGTCTTTCCTTCTCAGTCAATCTTCCTAAAAGTCAAACCGTCATCGAATATAATCGGTAATGTGTGACAAGAACGTGGTAAAGCGTTTTGATTGGCGAAGGTCATTAAATAAAGATCACCCGATTTGCTCTAACACTAACAGTGAAAGCACCAGGATAAAACCATTCCTCTTTCAAAACAAAAACCCTCTGCAATGCATATCGCAGTCATTTTCTGATTGCAAGTATCTTGCATGTATTGGCAATGTGTTTCTGCCAACACTCGCGATGGGGTGTTGGGAAAACAATTACTGTACAACAGCTCTGTTATCATAGCTACTTATTCTATTAGAGACTTGTCAATCACCGATCTCCAACAATCTCGAGGCGAAAACCCGCTCGTTGGCAGCCGTGCATTACAAGCTTTAAGAAAGGATCTATCAACGAGAGTGTTATCGAAAAGAACTGAATCATGCATGTCTTGTCCCAGGAAAGGAGAACTTATTAAAGCGCTTCTTGATCCGTGCTGAACAACACCAAACTTCTCGATATATATTTTTCATGTTAGTCTTGTCATGTGTGAATGCGCATTCCTTAACTCAGATTTTCACCTCGTTGATGCTTTTACAGATGTTGGTTATTTTGTAAGATTCTGCGCACTTTTTCGAGCACTACATCTTAAAAACCAGGAAGTTTTACAAGTTGATTTTACTTGTGAGAGACAGAATTATCAATAACGATTTTTGTGTGTGGGTTATAATGGTAGGTCTTGGTTACTGCTTGGTAAGATCATCGGCGTAAAAACCTGATCTTGGGAATAAAAACAACCCTGACCTCGAAAATGACATGCTTGATATATTTCACTGAACACCAGGAACACACGCATTAGTTTTTGTAAGATTACGGTTTGCGATAGCAGCGCTAATGCACAAAAATAGCTGCCAACTAGTCTGCGTAATGTTTAGCTTCAACAACCCATGGCGTTTAACAGCCAGGATTTTGATATTTACGAATCTCTGTCAAAATACTCTTGACACGATCATTTTAGACAAGCGTGTTTGTCTTGTGGCTGGAGTGGACAGACAGACAGACCTATAGTATGGTACTGCCAGATCTTGAGGACACTGGTGTATATCAATTAACTATACCATTGACCTCGGATTTTGCCGCGCTCATGCAACCAGCATATTAGGTCTAGATGGGCCGTATCTTTTTATGAAGTATATGTATATCGAAGGGCGGCTTCTGATCGTGAAGACATTCCGAGACAAAGTTAACAGCCCTCTACTAATCTAATAAAGTAGCATGCACGTGATCATGATAGTGAGACAGTCAGTACACGTCGCAGCCACTGCTCAGAACTCAACAGACCAATAAATTCTATGTTAAGATCTTATTTTTGCATTAATAAATGTGTTACCAGATCAGTCTTTCCGCCACTTGGAATACATTCGATATTCGTGATAGTTATATAGGCCTGAGATCAGTGGCACAAATTCGTACACAATTTTTTTCAAAGGGGCGTGGTGGGGTGTAAAAGGGACCCTTAGCTTGTTCAGCTTCGTTGGGTGATTATTCGTTATAAATGTGATTGAAATTTCTCCCTAATAGCTGCCAGGGCTGCATGAGGTACATGATCGCTATAGGTATTTTGAAGCTGTTCTCATTAGGGAATATGCTAGTTCCATTGAATATGCCTTCCCATTCATCAATGGTGCGCTGGGAATGTCCCAAATGCACCTAGACAAATGATGAGATTGGGAGCCTTTATTTCAAACCCTGCTAACATCCTACTTCTTTAAACAACCATCGTGTTTTACACCCTCTAAGTTCCTTTCTAATTTGTCTAAACTAACGAGAGTAAACACTTCTGAAACGCATTTGTACGAACTGAACGCGTTGACTATAGTTGGGTCATCCTATGCAAAACGACCGCTTAAATTCATCTCTTCAATAACCTGTAAATTTATAACAATACAAAAACAGTCGTAAATAAAATCCTGCCAAATCGTCTTACCCAAGGTGAACTGGTTAACAAACTGAAGCGTCACGAACACCTCAAACGGATTTCCTCTCGATTTGACCGAAGGGAAACGATGTCTGCGTCAACAGAATTTCATCACATATGCACATCCTGTCCTTATATCGCTGTAAATATTGGTTATGACCTCGATTCCACAGACAGGATTAAAACTACATTTAATTAACTGAATACTTTCAAATATCCTTGGATTATTAGTAAGCAATTACGGTAGACGCTCGTGATTTTATTTGCTCGTGAAAAAAGTCGTATATTTTTTCACGGGTCATAATAATATCACTATTGATCTTACTGACTTAAGAACACCCTGTTTAGTAAATGCATTCAACTGTAGCTATTGGTTCGTTTAATCTAATTTTACGGAAGTCATGTTTATTTATATCAATAGAAAATAGTGTGAATGAAATCTTGTTTTACAAAGGCCACATGCACTCGGGGGTCAACCTCATCTGTGTAAGGAAAGAGACGGCGGATTAGACAATTGACCTTAGTCAATAACACTGACGAAAACAAAATCATTTTATACTCGAGCTTTACCGACGATCAGAATCTGTTAAGTTTTGGTATATACGTCCAAATAAGCTGTAGAAGAAACACGGAAATTATTAGGAGTGGCTTTCAATGTTGGACTGATCAATCGTATTCATAATCTGAAAGAGATGAACATTTTCCACTAAACAAGACTCCATTTCAATTCTCATTCTCAAACGCATTTGTCCCAGTTTCAATTCTACAGATCCTATTCTCTTTTGAGCAGAAATATGGATAAATCCCAGTTTTTACTTTACTTCTTCAGGAACATGTTAAGTTCAAAATCTTTGTAGGGTCTCCGAACTGGCATTGATTTCCAACACTATTTATCATATCCCCTTATCCTTAGTTTCCCGATCGTCCTTGTCTCCATCCATCATCTTTTCTCACTCTCCTCTTTCTACACATCCTTTCTTATTCTTATCCTCCATTCCATAGTATAAAAGTCGTTTGTTGTAGTTGTTTACTTCACACCTGAAACGTCTGTTAAGTTTCCTTTCTTGAACACAAAGACAGACGCAAGTCGATTTATGGATGTCAATATTTGATTGCTGTATATATATATACTACCCGGCAGTAAAGGACTGAAAGATGAAAATGTCGACCAACAACCAGACAGGACGCAATATACCTTCTATCAACACATACCTCACCACGCAGCTCACTTCACTCACTCAGCTATACTTTGCGCAGATAAGAACTTCGATGAAATCACTAACCTCAGAGATTTTAGTAAGGCAAGGTTGTGAACATTTGAAACAACATCTTGACTTTGACAACATTAATCGTGTCCGTTTTTCAATGGGTTTTTGAAGAGTTGGTCTCTGAAGATCACGGAAAGAAATCCACGGATTTATGAGGATAATCATTGACCTCTTGTGCTCTGTTCATCAATATACCACGATGAGCAAGGATCAAGGATCCAACGATCTATGTACAAGACGCGTACCATATGTTTTCCAGCGGTTTTTGGGGGGGGGGGGGGGTTGTGTCCTTCCTGTGCTTCGAGAGTTGTTCTTCGTGTTCTTTGGTTTTTCTCACACTAAATTCCAATTCGGTCTGTGAGTTAGCGTATAGCTGGACCCCTCACTTAATTTAATCAGCCCAGAGGTTATTTCAGGGTTCGATATAATTGAAAGTGGTGTTTACAACTTGAGGTCGGCTCCAGCATTGCTCTTCGTTATACGGAAGTCTAAGCGGAAGGGTTTTCAAGCAAGATAAATTGCTTTATCAACATTGTTTTTCAAAGACATATGTTTCTAACTAAAGGATGGACCATTAGTTGAGGGGGGAGGTTGTAGGAATTTATATTGCACGATATTTCTTTTTGTAAGTTCCCTTGCACACATTTTTTTCTTTTTTGGTTGGGGGGGAGGGGTGGGGACTGTTTGCTCGATATTTCAGTACTGAAAGGATAGGTTGCGCTATATTGTTTTCGTAGGTGAAGTGCAGTGCTTGGTCGATATTTTTTGGGGGATTTAAGCAACCTCTCCCCGGCCCATCCATTGTCTAATGGTCCGCCCTTAACAAGCATTACTGATTATAAAATTACTAAGTACTTTATAAGGCTAAATATTTACGTTGGTTAAACCTCTTAATCCAATTTGTAGGAGAGGAAAAGTCGCTTTTCTTTCAGCTAAAAATCTCAACTTATTCGTGAGTAGGCAAGCCAAGACTTTAATTAAAAACACACTGGGAGATCTTGAAAAGGGATGCAAAAAAGTTTCCTTAGGCGATGATGATGATGATGAGTGATGGTAGTGATGATGATGATAATGATGATGAGTGATGGTGGTGATGATGATGATGATGACGACGACGATGACAATGATAGATGATGGATGATGGTGGTGACGATGATGACGATGACAATGATAGATGATGGATGATGAAGATGAATGATTGTGATGATGATGAGGACGATGACAATGTTGAGTGGTGATCGTAATGATGATGATGATGATGATGATGATATCAATAATATCCATACCCAAGTTTATAAATCTATTTCTTTCTCCTGACCCTAATATCCAGTTCTATTTTACGAGCCCGGTGTTCTTGTCATAGGACTTCATCGTACGTACCCACATCAGAGTTGGAATAATCCCTTTCGTGCTACTAACACTGAAACCCAACTCCTCAAAATAGCTCAGCAGTTGTTAAAAACGCCTGGAATCTCAAATATAAGTTACCATCGCTCGCTCCCAAGTTCGGGTCAACATGGCTGACTGACACGCAGTAAATATCCACTCGCTTTATGAATTTGTCTGCTTGTTTTCCGACACACAGTGGGTCAAACAGCCAATAAGAAAGAGTAAGAACCTGTGATGAAAGAAAGGCTATTGCAGATAGATTTTCTATAATAGGCCGGCTATTTATGGCCTGTACTGATGTAGGTATATGTACACCTTGGACACCTTGGATGGGACGTGTACTACCTAGGGCTGGTCATATGGAAGGAATGGTTGACGGATAAGTTCAAGTGTATATGCAGATAATTAGCACCAAAAACAGTCTTTAATTAGGAGTATTTAGAAGGCGTTATTTAATAACCATTACAGCAATCATCTGCTGAATTAGTTCGTATGTCGGTAAAAAAATACCAAGGTTGAAGATGAAGAATAGGAATGGGACTTTAATTAGGTGGAGGGCACGCAAATTATAGAATGAATTTCATCCCATTTGAAACACTTAACATTCAACACTCGGATATGTTTAAATCTACTCCCCCATCGTCTTGACTTCTTAAATTTTCATTTAAAAATCCCCAGTAGGTATCTACAGCCCCTCAGCAGTTTATAGCACCGTTTGGAGGCCATATGGGTCTTCTTGTGCAATCATAACTGACGTGAAACTTAGAATTGTATTTTTTCCCCAGCGGATGTACGACACGAACAGATTCACCAAAGTAACTGCCTATTCCATGGCTGGTCACCCTGTGTTTCATTGAGTAAGTTGTCATTCAAAATGTCCTTATCAATCACTAAAAACTAGAAGCCTGAGAGTCGACACTTGGGACAAGTTGTACGCACAGTCTTTCTATCGAGGTCACGGCTTACAATCTCTGGCAATTGCTTATAACTAAAGGTAATCTTCTTACTATTTAAGCGATACGTAGATTGTTAGCCCTTGTGTTGTTGATGTTGCTCATTCTCAAGCATCTTCACTTTAATTCTGAGTCACCTCGGTTGAACGAGCTGATTTTGGGACAAACGATGAGGGTCCAAAAAAACGACGAATTATCCGGTCTACACACTACGATATAATATACTTTCTCTCATCAAATACTAAGTTGAGAGTTTATCTATCTCCTTGAATTTCATTTTTAAGAGCTTCAAGAACTTCACAGTTATTATATTGGCTTCAGTGAAACTCATGAAGCAGAGAGGACAAGGACAAAGACTAAATTGTCAGTTAATGAATCTCTCGTTGCGATGCCATTATATTCACGTCATCTGTACAACCATCCAATAGATATAGTGATTTATCTCGAAGCACTTTTTGACAATTTTTGGACTTTATCTCTTCATTTCATTCGTCCCGTACGATGATATCAAGGTTTCTTATCAACAACAAGTTTTCGAGCGACGTATACTCTAGTCAGGCGTCAAGGCTATCTGTTTTATTTAAAGTTGATGTATCAGTGCGCGTTGCGCCCACTGAAGATTCCTCAGCTCGTTCCAACAGCTGCTAGAAGCAGATACGCAACGTTTCAGAAATGGGCTCACATACCTTAGAGTTTCATCAGCATTATGATCTAGGTATTTGTGATACTATCTTATGAAAAGGTTTGAAGAGCGAGCACTTTGGTTTTGAGGCGTGTCTGATCATTTCCCCGATTAAAAAAACAACATTCACTAAAAAGTACGGTGTCTCTAACACTGGGAGTAAGTTCTCTAGATTCTCTTTTTATTCAGTGTGGTGAATCAGATTGTACTGCGCTAATCCAAGAATCATATCACATGGATATCACCTCTTGGGTCGCTATAGACAAGTTGAAGTGGGCTCATTGAGACGGAAAGTGCTTTTCCCAAACTCTAGTAAGCTAAGATCTTCACTGAACTTCCTTTAAGATATTTCCCCACGTACCTACTACGTGCTACACTTCTCTCTACCTTCCTGTCATTCGGGCACGTAGCACACAGGTGCCTAGACGTGGGACTTTGATGATCGATAGACAATCGCGTGCGTGGATTCACTAGCTACGACAAGTTTACAGGTAAAAGTCCCATTGAGTAGGCTTGCTTTGCACAAATCACTTGACATCATCACTTATTATTCACTTAAAGTTCCAATAACTTCACGGCAAAAAAAAAAAACATAGTCTTATCGATACATTAATTGGTCTATTCTATATTATAATTTTCATTCTCACCAATTCTTACTACGTAATAGAAACCTTCGACGTTCGTAAAACCTATCTAAATTCCCGCGGTCCATACTTGAAACAACGTCTTTTGTAAAGGCTGTGAATCTTTTTATTGTCTAGCCAGGTGCTTCGTACTTATAATCTTTCTATTTCATATGTGATTCTAACTCGCCATTTCAACCACTCTTACTGCCATTTTTCTTAAAGTACCGTCTTCAATGAACTAAAAACAAATTTGAGGAAATCCGAAATTGAATTACCGTCTAGTATCCTTATATTATTTGTTGATAATTGAAAAACAAAACAAAGAAGAAGAAAAAAAACAAGAAAAACAAGAAAACAGGACCGTCAAATCTGGTTAAAAAATGGTTTAAGAGAATTTTTCTGGTTAGGCTACCTTTTATCCAACGCCGCCAAAATGTCAGGGTAGACGGTGTTCGGTGTTTTTGGCCCCTTTTCTGGATTCTGTAATAGTGACAAGAGCATTGCCGACTTTAATCCTTATTCCGACATGACAGAAACCAGACCGGCAGATATTATTCGTTCAAGCTCACGAAGAACGGGGAAATTCAATCGGAAAAAAAACCTTCAATGTTTTATTTTCAGTTTCTTTTGTGTTTTCGTTTGATAAGCAAATTTTTTGTTTTTGTTTTCAGGATTCATTTCAATCTATTTTGATGTCGTATATTCTTTTTTTCTATTCCCTTTTACTTCAACTGACTTTGCCTTTGCTCACGAAACTAAGGAATTTTACATATTTGACTTTTAAAAAGTTGATTTCCAAAAAAAACGTGAGAAAAAAAATAAGCGAACGAGCCAAGATGAAGGTCTGGGTTGTTAGTTTTTCGCCTCAAGCAGTGAACTGATTTGTAGTGTTGGCTTTTGACATTTCTACAGGGCAGTGAACAAACCGCATTCCTAGCTAATTGACGTGAGCTATTGTTAGTATCTCGAGAAGTCTCTGAAAATACGAAGAAAAGCCTTAGGGGATAAATTGTTGGACTGTTTGGCAAGTTCATCTCATGCAGTGAATGTAATGAGAGGTAGAGAAAAGAGTACGTGTGCGTTCCCGTTTACTCCTTAAGTGCTACGGTTTTTCGCGCTCATTTCAACATCGAAAAGTACGTTAAAGATTTTTAAAAATAACGTTTCCTTAATACTTGTAAATTCAAAACTAACCATACGCTTTCATCCTTGAATAATGTGTTTACTTAATCCGGTTATATCAGCTAGCAGTTTGGGTTGAGAAAGCTTTTTGAAAAAAGTTAGTACTAGTGGAACTTAGGGGTTTTCCCCCCGAATTTCATCAATTTTTGTTGACATTTTTTTCTATATATCATTTTTCATCTATACGAAAAAGAAAAAAAGGAAAAAAAAAGCTTTTACTGTATAGTTTTGACACGGTTTCCCGCGGTTTCTCACGGTATTTTCTCGGCTTCTGAATTTCCAAACTACCAGGATGTCATTTTGTTTGTAGGTTTTTAAAACTCATCCACGGAAACTTTGTAATAATAATTGCACGCTTTCCTGATGATATTACCATCATTCTTGAGATTGTATCAAACTATTTCGTGTGATGATACATTCTACTAACAATTTTAATGGAAAGTTAACCGCATCCCAGCTTTGCTTGATTTGGATTTTTTTTTCTTTCTCGCTCTGAGGGCGCGTGACAAACCTATGCAAGAGGTCTTCAATGTTCAGTTATTAGAGCTATAAAATGATCTGAGTTCCTTAATAAGGACATTTTTTGTGAATTGGCCACAACTGGAGAACGACAAATTGATTGACAGATGAAACCAATCAAGTGTCAGTAGCCCGGGGCTGGGGCAAGTACTGACCGTACCATCAATGGGATTATAAACTGTCCTTTTTGCAATTGCTTGCGTACGAGTTATAATTGGCGCTCTTGTATCCCATCTGTAATATGGACCCAAGTAATAGATTGTTCGCTCTCGACTTCATAGCTTCATACAGAAATGATTCCTTTAATCCTTTTATCTCAAAACCGTTCCATCATCAAACACTGAGCTTATAACGTCTACGAGTCATTGATCAAAGCAGTACATTTTAGCTGACTGATACGCATTTCATTCACTAATTAGATACCGACGATTTCACCTATTATTGTCCCGACTTTAACCACTCCGAACTTGACGAACGAGGGTATCTGTTTGGGGTGTCCATGCGTAATAACTCCTTTGCCTGTCCTGTTTGTGTGTCAGACGAGCGATAGAGACATTAAACAGATCTCGATATTCTATACGCATTTAGACACCTATTTCAATTGCATAACAATAGATGGACAAGTTGGGATTGCTGTCTGCGAAGGCCAACGCGTTTTCGATCGCGCAGTTGATTGACGGTACACATCATTGTATTGATTTAGAAACCATGAGGCAGAGTGCTGGACCATACGCCACTACTTGGAGCTCACAACAGTTTCATCAAGAAATGGAAGGTATGAAAAAGTTAGATTTTGTAATCAAAAATGAATTATTTATCAGCACATTTCACAGGGTTATGAAGTCACTATGACTGAATACTGCTATTACGTCCTGTGACAATGCAGTGATTAACTACCTTGATATTATAGCTTGATACAAAACGACTATCAAACGCTACAATAAGGTTGATAACTTGGAGGAAAATGAAATCCCCTTTAGTGCGAGCATCAATTGATGAAGTTCCCAATAATACTGAAAAGCTCCTTTCCCAAGGTGGTTTTATTCCAGTCATCGTTTTCCGTCATCAATAGTTGAAATATCATCGGTAGCATACCTAACAGTGTTTATCTAAAATATTTAAGTGTTTATCCAAGTAGTCAATATTTATAGAGAGCTCAAGTCTTCTTCTCGAATGAAACAGCATCAAAGATTCTAAACCTGTATCAATAAATGCTCAAAGTAGATTCATTTGTCAGGGGAAATCAAACCGAATCTCAGGATTGAATCTTACATTTGAATTTACTTATCCAAATACTTATTTAAGTATTTTTCCCCCTGACATTCTTCTTAATTCATACAGAGCGACTTCTCAATGCTGGTACTGGCAAACGTCTTCCCTCAAGGTCGGACTCACTGTCCGAATCCGATGAAGACAACGAGGCCTCTTCTCCTTGTTATATTTCGAGTTTATCCTCCAGCAGACGCCAACAAACTCGTTCTCCATGTGCCGAGAACTCGTCGTCTTCTAGAGGTTCATCAAGAAGCCTTGCTCACGCGCGTGTGGAGCTTGAAATGAAAACTTTGTGGGACGAATTTCATGCTCTTGGAACAGAGATGATCGTCACTAAAGCAGGAAGGTTAGTTGGTCAGTTGGGCTATCAATGGGCAATGCGTTATTTACGTCTCGTTGTTATCGGCTTGCTGTTCTTACAAATCTTTATCGCAGCGATGACGGAGTTAGGGATAATTCTGACCTCTTTTGAATCGCTCGTATTATCACTTGTGTAACACTCTTGGCTGTTAAAATTTCCGCTGAGCTGCACTCACCATTAGCAATTTTCGTGCTGGTAGGAAAGGTGAACAAATCTCTGACTGCGCGGAATGAGCGCATATGATGAAACGGCCATTAGCCCTCGACACAGCAACATACTGTCCATTATTTTAAGTTCGTTCTGTTTCTTGTATCCTGTATAGACTGTTCGCCTACCTAAATCAGTAAACTCTTGATAAAACTATGACTCGTATTCCATTTATTGGAGAATCATTTTAAGTGACGAAAAACCAAAATTCCTTCAGTGGGTGATGAAGAACCAAAAGTCTTTCTACAAGGCTAACTGGACGAAAAACGTCTGTGTGAAAGTTAGGAGAACATCTGCTCTTTTCTTACGAAAAAATCGAAATGATTCGAAGTCGTGGAGTCACTGATCAATCAAGAAAATATAGTGAATTTTGCGATAAACTTCGGCTTTTTTGTGAGTTTTCTTCTGCAACTTCATTTTGCCAGTTCGTTGTGTCGTAGCATGCCTTTACTAAATAAGTCAGGCGATCAAAACATCCACGTATTTTCAATTTTTATTTCGCGCTATTGTTTTTTAACCCTGTAAAGACAGATTGATTAGTCTATTCCAAGAGGACACGTCTGCTACTGTTATCTCTATCTTTTAACCCATCTAGAAAATAATTAGAAAGAAAAACAAAACTAAATGGCTTTGTCTCGAGAACTTTGATGATAAAGATGACGATTTCGAATTGTTTTCTGTTAATTGACATTCCAGGCTATATTTGTGTGGGGTTATCGGTATAAAAACTTGAATAAATGTCAAAGGATTAGGATGATAAATCCATGACAATGAAACTATAAAAAAAGCCGGCGCAGGAAATAGTACTAATGCAGAAAAAGAAGCAAAAATGAATATATTTTTGGCAAGAGTTGTTAATTTTTTAAGCTTAAAGAGCTACCTTTTATATATTTACTCTTCACTGATTATCCTAAAGCGATACTCATAATAGTTTTAAAGAACGAATTTTTTCGATACGAATTTCAGTGGGGGAATCGTTTACTCGACTGAGTTTCAGGCTTACCGTCATGGCCTATCAATGTAAGTTCAGTTTGTAATCTTCTTACAAAGGATTTTGGCGTATCCTCATGGATTATAGTATTTTTATTCTGGTAACACAAGTAGACTAATCATGAGCTTTCGGAACTTACAATAATAGCCGTTTTTGAGACTTCGTGCAAAAGCTTTTGATTTGGTCCAGTGGTTGTTTCCTTTGGAAGGAAGGTAACTTGGCACATGGGTGGGTGGGTGGGTGGATGTTGGTAGGTGGGTGGGTGGGTGGATGTTGGTAGGTGGGTGGGTGGGTGGATGTTTGTAGGTGGGTGGATGTTGGTAGGTGAATTGGGTGGGCTGGTTGGTTGGTTGGTTGGATGTAGGAGGCTGGTAGTAGAGATTGTTTAAGTTGGCAGGCAGGCAGGTATGGACTGGTTGTTTGTGATGTGGCTGTTAGATAGTAACAAGAAGGTAGGTATGTGGGGAGGCATTGCTTTATCAATCTTGTTATCTGTGTTTAGTTGCTGTGCTTAGTCTGCTTTTTCTATACCAAATCCTGTCACGGCAAGCCTTACTCAATTCATCATCATCTGTTCATGTCCTGATACACACCAAATCGAAATATGGCGACCAATTTGACTAACGACTAACTAGCCTCGTGTTCACAACATGGAAACACGAAAGCGTTTTCACATGTAAAGGAGGCTTGTCAGTGCAGTGTATATTCTCATTTCTTCATTTGATTATTTATAGATATTTGATTTCTTCTGTGTCCCATTTTCCTAGACGTATGTTCCCAACATTTCAAGTTCGTCTGTCAGGCCTGGACCCGACTGCTCGATACATCCTGATGATGGACTTTGTTCCCGTTGATGACAAACGTTACCGGTACGCCTTCCACAGCTCCAAGTGGTTAGTGGCGGGAAAAGCTGATCCCAGTGTACCTGGACGCGTGCACATTCACCCTGATTCAYCGTGTACTGGCGCCCAGTGGATGAAACAGATCGTGTCTTTTGATAAACTCAAACTGACCAATAACCTGATGGACGATAATGGTCACGTGAGTATGACGTGTATTAACGAAATGTCATGTGGATTTTTCGTTGTTGTACTTTTAGAATTTTAGAAAGATTCCAAGCACTATGTTTAAAAGTGTAAAGCCCCCTTTTTAACTTGGACTTAATGTTTCGCCATTTCAGACCAAATTTTTTTCCCTATGTAGTATCATTTCTTTGTTTAACGCGGATTGCACATGAGAAGACACATGAATATGGATACAACTCAAACGAAGAATCTTATTCTCAAGAGAATGAAACGTGGTCTGCAATGGGAAAACATTGCGCCAAAGCCAAAGAGGTCTATATATCGAAGTTTGTGTTCTTCAATCCACAGATAATTCTCAATTCAATGCATAACTATCAGTCTCGTTTTCACGTCATTCTCGAAGACCCGGATAAGACTAATTCAGCACACATGCATGAAGTAGCCAAGGATCGTATACGAACGTTCGTTTTCCCAGAAACACAGTTCATGGCCGTGACTGCCTACCAGAACCATATGGTAACACATAGATTAATGTTATTCTTGGGGTACATGTTGCGTCATAGCCGCCATGTTGGTTGACTATAACAAAGCATTCCTCATTAGCTTCTCTTGTTAGATCAACCAAGATGGCGGCTGTTTCATTGTTATTTATAACTTGCCTTTATTTGTTCCAAAGGAGACGAGAAGACAAAATGTTGTCGCCATGTTGGATGACATCAACAAAGTCATCCAACATTTGCATGATCGGATATAAAATTCTATTGGTTTCCATAGTAAATAAAAATGTCTTTTAGTTCACAAAAAGTCAAATCGCGCATGCTCACACGCAGCCAATCACCTACACGTATCTTGTAACGACTTTCAGCAGAGCAAATTTTAATGTTTGTTTGGATGAAAAATGCTAAAAACAAACCTATTTTTCCCGCTGATTCTTTCAGATCACTCAACTAAAGATCGCTAGCAACCCGTTCGCTAAGGGATTCCGCGACTGTGATCCCGAAGATTGGTAAGGACGACAAAAAATGTCTGCGCACTCAGTTTTTGTGTAGTTTATGACGTGTTGGTGTGAAAATGTCCCTCAGTAGACGTATAAATTCAATAGTGTTCCATTCAATAGACCCCTTGCAGCGCTCATGCAGCTCGATTTGGAGGAAATTATTTTGTTTTGTCCTCCAAATCGAGCTCCTTTGACGTCACATGCAAGGGGTCTTTACAACTCAAAACGCATCCCACATGGAAAAGAGTGTCCATGTGCGTTTAGCCATCAGTGACACAACCGACATGCTGGGTCTGCTGGTCATAGCAAGGGGTTAAATCATGTACGGTCTAGGGGCCGACTAACCTCTCCCTTAGGCTTTTGCCGAGCTTTCTGACCAGTTTGTAATTCCTCCCGGGATAGCGGTGTTGGGGTCGAAATCTCCAGCGTAGCCGTAAGTCCATACGACGGTTCAGCACTCGATGTCTGGAAGTATGGTCCTGGTTCTCTTAATTACTAAATGAAAACAATCCAAATAAGTAATTTTTCGACTAGAAAGGAGATTCCAAAATAGATCAATCAAGGTGAAACTAATTATTTACCAACGTAAATAAATAATCTCCTAGAAACAACAGCTACAGCTAACGCACTGTCTTGAAGTTGAAGTTGAAGTTGTGAAAGGCTTATTGGCCCTCTTCTTCAGTCGTTTCATACCAGGCTCGTAATTTACCTATAACGCATGTTTTTATATGATTTCAGAGCCCATCCCACACAGCTTACCGACTCATCTCGCTCTGTATATCATATTTTCTTTATGTGTTTTTTGTTGCAGTGTAATAGAAGTAATGAAACAGTTGGATCAGAATGGACCAGGTAATAATAGTATGATGCCAAGACCACGACATAACAGAGAAATGATCGACTCTCGTCATGAGAGATCTACGACTCCATCCTCAAGCATATCTTCTCATCCCCCTTCCATGGCGCATGCGCAGTACACCATGGCATTACCAGACAGCTACCCAGGTAAGAAACACTGATTTACAATTTTCAACTTTTTATCGAACCCTGAAACAACCTCTGGGCTGATATAAGTCAGGGAATGGCTAACTCACAGATCCAACCCTGAAACGACCTCTGGGCTGATCAAAGTCAGGGCATGGCTAACTCACAAACCGAATTGGAATTTAGTAGCCTGGGTTTTGTAGAGGGAGAAAATTGGAAAACCCGGAGAAAAACCCTCAAGTCAAGAGAGATAGGGAGATATAGAACCAACAATGAAGAGATATATTTTGAGATATCTGGAACGTAATCTATTAATTCGTTACATTCCAGGGTCTTATCATGAGAGTCGGGCGGCAGCGTTAGGTCAACTAAGTCATGGTATCCCACATGTGGGTTCTCCACCACCTCCCTGCAGTTATCCATCAATGATGGCACCAATGGTGACGCCTGTAGGGCTGCGATCACCCATATCACCAAACTCACCAACAAGCCCGTCATATGGTCAGCGGACTTACCACGATGCACTGCGCATGCACCGAATGGTACCTTATCCGCACYCGGGCATGAGATCGAGGTCGTCAATTTCTTCAATGTCGAGCGATGAACAAGGGTCCGAATAAATGCGCTGTGGCACGCCAGAGATATGATGGAAATTCATTCCTGCCGCACGTGTTGTCATACAAATATTCATTCGGTTCACTTTTGAATTTGCTTCATTCGTTTTTATGAGAGAAAACAGTAAATCTGCATGACGGGGAATGTCAATCTACAAAGACGAACGACACAAGAACAAATTCGGTACCGGTGATCTTTCTGAACATAAATGCTTGGTCTGTGCGCATGTCCGAAAATAGGCGCAGGTTTTCGGAAGAAATGCACGCATGGGCACTGGAAAACTATCAGTGTTCATGCGTATTGGAAAGAATGAAAGGTATTGATGGAAGTACGCATGCGTATAAGGATCATTGTACGGTACAAGCGCGCATGCGTAATAAAAGGAAGCAAAGAAATCAACTTTAACAGGTGTGGAATGTTGAGGTTTGCGCAGATAAAATTCAAGCTCTTTTATAATTCAAACAGAAGTCAGAAAACTGTGACAGAGTCTTCATATCACAATGTAAAATACTGTAACGTTATTTCTTGTTCATGAGCAATAAAATATCGATGAAAATTTCGATTATAGTTTTCGAAGAATCACGAGCCAAAAATCTCGTAACAAATGCCTGAAACTAAAATCCGTTAACCGCCATCAGGATGAAGATAACATAGCTTCGAAAGTTTTGAGATTATACTGATGAAAGAAGCTTATTTTAAGACTGAGATCTAGTTTTACTCCTCAATAAGTTAAAGCAATTTAACTTAAGATGCAATTCCACTGAAAATGCTAACAAGCGCTCAAACTACGTTCGACGCGTCAAAGCCACTTAGTCAAGCAACCATGCCCAACAATTAACAATTATTCAGCCTTTTGTCATATTTATTCTCAGTCATATATACTTTAAATTGCAATAGTTTTTGTTACTGTTTAAATATTTTGTCTGGGATGTAAAAGTCTGAGAACAATTACCGGCTTAGATTACGCTTCTTTTCCTAATCTTTTTAGGTCGTCACGTCGTCACGCAATCTTTCTACCGTGGGGAGAGAAACGTTGCGTGACGACCCTGAAAACGCCATTTGAATAAAATGATTCCTATTCATTTAGCCTCCTACGAAGGTGAACTTGGGGATCGTCACAACGTCACGCAATCATTCTTTCATGGGGAGAGAAACGTCGCGCGACCACCCTGAGAACGTGAGCATATATTCGTATTTGGCTTGAGTTTAAAGCATCTCTGTTCTTGAGTCATAAATACAGCTTGATCAGTTCATCGCTGACAGCAGAGGGGGTCAGGACACCTAGGTCAGTGAATAACAGGGTGATGTATGATGGAGGGGTGTAGTCCACCAGGGGGTGGCCAGTCTGGATAATGTCCTTGGGATACTGGAGGAATAAAGAGAAAAAGAAGGAATCACTTTTCTCAATGTTAATAAAGGTAAAGTAAAAATTCTCCTTTAAGGTATTAGGATACGAAAAATGACGAATTGCTCGAAAAAAAATTTTTTTTTTAATTTCATAATTTTAAACTTTTATCTTTCATATGTTTGTGAAACTTCTTGCAATTTTTGATTGGAAAAGCCAAAATTTTGAGAAAAATCGAAATCGTGACTTTATCAAGA